CTTACTATATGTCAGGGAATGTGCAAAGTGCTTGATACGCCTTATCTCAGTCTCAATCCTGGAATTGTGATAAAAAATAAAATAAAGAAAGTAAAAGTAATAATATACAAAGTTGTTTCTTTTAGTTAACAAATATTACTAGTGTTCTAAATACTACATATATATTTGAGCCCTTTCATTTAATATATATCTTTCTATATGGGTGCATGTAAACATCTCTCACAACTTGATTCTATTTAATGAAAGCTTAAATATATATGTGTTTGGAGAAATAGGAACGCTTTTACTGTTGGTGGGAGTATAAATGTCTTCAACCATGTGGAAGACAGTGTAGTGATTCCTAAAGGATCTAGAAATAGAAATACGATTTGACCCAGCAATCCCATTACTGGGTATATACCCAAAGGATTATAAATCGTTCTTTAAAGACATATTCACATGTATGTTCATTGTGGCGCTGTTTACAATAGCAAAGACTTGGAACTAACCCAAATGCCCATCAATGATAGACTAGATAAAGAACATGTGGGATATATATACCATGGAATACTATGCAGCCATAAAAGGGGGTGAGTTCATGTCCTTTGCAGGGACATGGATGAATCTGGAAACCATCATTCTCAGCAAGCTGACACAGGAACAGAAAACCAAACACTGTGTTCTTACTCATAGGTGGGTGTTGAACAATGAGAACACATGGACACAGGGAGGAGAACATCACACACTGGGGTCTGTTGGGGGCTGGGAGTCTAGGGGAGGGATAGCAGGGGATGGGAGATTGGGGAGGGATAACATTAGGAGAAATACCTAATGTAGGTGACGGGGGATGGAGGTGGCAAACCACCATGGCGTGTGTAACAGTCCTGCAAGATCGGCACATGTACCCCAGACCTTAAAGTCTAATTAAAAAATAATAAATAAATAACACACACACACATACACACACACATATACATATACGTATATATATATATACATATATATATATATGTTAACCAGGTTGAATATATAGATATTTTGCTTTACAGTTTGAAAATACTACTGTATTAAGCTGGTTTATTTATTGGCCTGGCAATTTGGGGTCCTTGCCAAAGCTATTTATAGCAGTTTATATTTTCTATACTTGTATAATGCGGACAACGGTAATATATAGTATGTTTTGGTTTTTTTCTTCATTTAAAACCTCTCTTCCTTATTTGTCAATGTTAAAATTTGTAAATTGCAGATTTGTAAATTGCAGCTCTGCATCGATTTTTGGTTGTAGAACGTCTAAGTCTGATGCAATATATTTTAGCCCAGTTTTTTTTTTTTTTTTTTTTTTTTAATTTTTCGTAAAGTTAAAATTTGTTGTGGCCAGGCATGGTGGCTCATGCCTGTGGTCCTAGCACTTTGGGAGGCTGAGGCAGGCGGATCATGAGGCCAAGAGATCAAGACCATCCTGGCCAACATGGTGAAACCCCGTCTCAAAAAAAAAAAAAAAAAAAAAAAAAA